CCCCGCCCAGCCGCAGCACGCAGCCTCATTTTCTCAACAATGAGATCACTTCCTCGCGGTGCCTTCGCGGGCGGGGCACTGCGGGGCACGCCGCGCACCAGGCCGCGGAAGCACGGCGGAGGAGGGAGGGAAGGGCCACGACGACCATAGGAAGGCCTGCCGCCAAACCATATCGCAGGAGATGCGGGAGGGGGCAAGAGCGGCCACGGGGTCAAAGCCGTCGCACACCAGCAGGATGCACTTCAGGATGCACTGCGGGCGGGAACCAGGGTGGGAGCGCTGGACGGGTGCAGTGCAGCTCCTGCTCCACATGACCGAGATGATCTCATCAATCAACGACAAGCCCCTTTATTGTTTCTGCGCGTTTCATTTCTTTCTCAGCCCCTCTCCCGCGTGCCGCACCGCGCACAGGTCTCTCACAATAGCGCCACGGAGCACGCTACCCCACCCAGTATAACGGCCTCTGCAGTGAGCGCACAAGCAAAGCAGGTCATGAACAAGCGACGACGCATCCTTAATTTATTTAAAAATTATAAAGCCCGGACCAATAACGTGCACCTTCCTTATCGGCGGATACACAGAATTTGGCATGAACACGGGGGAAAGTTGCGCGAGGAATACGTCATCCACTCAACGAGTGAGTAGTAGGAAAGGGTGAAAATGAGGAGAGGGGCGTTTCCGGGGCTTGGCAGACTGGGACGTCCGCGAGGCCCACGAGCGAGCCCGCGGGAGGAACGTCAGCGCATGTCAGCCAGGTCAAATACGATCCCGCGGCCGACCCAAAAGATACGTTGTACAGCACAGAGGGCCATTCATTGTACACACGGTCCACATTCCTCAGCACAAAAGGTCACATTCAGGGCACGCGTGTGAAACAACGAGAGGCCTTTTGATTCCTCTCCGTCTCCTCGTAATCTTTGATTATACTACAACACGGCAAATTAGAGCGAGCTTTTCTGAGATGTTGCTGCGGTAGTAGCTTTGGCTACCTATGCTGTCGAGGGTCCACGCAAAGGGATAGGCGCGACCCAGCAGGTTCATGTGTTCATGTGTTGCGGCGGTAGCTGAGGGGTCGTAGTTAGGAAGAGCACCCACAAGAAAGGCTCGCTCTTAAAAGGAAAGATTTTCCGGTGATACAGTCAGATTTCAATGGCGTTGTTATTGTATCGGAAACCCCTTCCCATCCCATGCAGCGCAGCGCGTGTCCGGTCCGGTCCCCCGTGCAAGCAGGCAACGCGCCTGCACGCCTGCCTCGCGGTACAGTATACGACACTAGTAACCCGCTAAAACTGTGGCTGCAACTGTGAGACAATACACCATACACCACCACCACCGTGAGGAGCGGGCTCGGTGATGTGGCCCGAGTGTGGCCCGTAGGCGCGCCGGCGTGCAGTGCACCCGGGCGAGCGCGCCGCGCCCATCGCGCCGGCCCTCTGCCAGTGAAAGTGTTAAGGTATTCTGTGTGAGCCGAGAAGATTCCCCCAACACGCACGCACCAGCCGCAGCGCGGACTGCCTTTTGCCTTCTGCTGCCACGGGCAGTCAACCAC